CCCTGCTAAACCTTCCCCCGTAATCCTATAAAGATGTCAGATACAGATAGGCCTCAGGACGGGCAGCCCTATCTGACAGTCCTGGTATCAAATAGCCAGAGAGCCTGAGGATTGGGTTGCTCCAGGAATACCCTAATCTTGATTTCATTGTTTTTCCTCTCCCTAAAAGGGTGGGATTGGATTTGGAGATGGGTGGGGAATCTGCAGCCCAGTGGCTGACACCATGTAAGGAGAACCTGGGAGGCTGCTTTTCCCATTCAGAGGGCTGGCAACCAAGCCTGCCCCTGTTGTGTGTGTGTGTGGGTGTGGGGGGAGGGGGCAGTGGATCGTCCTGTGGCTCTTCTCAAATACTACAGTTAGGCAGGCAGCAGCTGCATGGAGGGGCTGCTACTATGCACATGGCCAGAGCTCAGCCTTGCTGTACTGGGCTCTAGAGTTAATTACCTATAAGTGCAAGCAGGCCAGGTAACTGCAGCCTTGAGGGGGAGGAGGAGCCCCCCCCCCCCCGCCCCAGCCCCGCCTTCAGTCCCTGCAAGTCCGGGTCAGCCCAGGGGACTGATGCATCCTGTGGTCTTTCCGTGCCTCCTCCGTGGATATACTTAGCAAGTGCAGTGCTGGGTTGGGAATTTCCCTAGGATGGGCCAGGACTTGTTTCCAAAATAACACCTTTCAAAGCATGCAGAGACTTTTGAGAAATTAGATAATTGTGTGATATTTATAAAATGAATTACGTTGTGCTGGGCAGATGGTTCTGATGCTGAAGTCAATAACACCTTGTGATTCACTGAGGTTAGGAGGGGGAAAGGACTTTTTTTTTTTTTTAAAGTTACTACTTTAAAGCAAAGTCTTTGCCAAAAATGTAGAAAACTCACAAAGTAAGTAGCACATTTTCAAGGTAAAATATTTATGTCTGGGGGTACATAGCCATGGTCAAGTTGTCCTATCTCATTCATAAAACACTTAGGGAGCATTTGAAATATGCTCATTCCTGTCTGCAGAGAGATACAAAGATAATACTTTATGGCTCCTGTCCTCCTTGGGTTCTCAGTCCAGTGAGGCAGACAGATGTATAAACAGATCATTGCAGAGCTGTGAGCTAAGTGTTAACAGAGGGATAGAAGAAACGCCGTGACGGGAGGAGAGAGATCCACTAACAGTGCGAAAGGAGAGGAGAAAAGAGCTTCGTGAGGAAGTGGTGTCTGAATGGGACGTGAAAGAAGGATTTTGGAAGCGGAGAAAGATGTTGGCTTCTCTCAGCAGCCTCTTCCTATCGTAGGGCCTTTGCATGTCCTTATGCACCTGGTTCCTCTTACGTAGCCACTTCTTCGCAGTCCAGAGACCTCTGGAAACCGTTCATCTGTCCTCCCTGCTTCAGTCTTTTAGAAACTAGAGACTGTGTTCGTTTTTCAAGCACCTCTCCTGGAGAGCAGTTGTCACAGCTGCACTTTCCAATAATTTGCATGATTATTTGCACGATACCTACAGAGCCTGCCACTTTACGTTCAACTTTGTTTCTTGACTAAATAAACAGTTGCAGAATGAATTAGATGAAGGCCTTTTCAGGTATGGAAAGCATGGTAGGTGTTCAGAGAACGGCAGGTGGCTTGGTGTTTCGGACCCTGGGATATGTGAACTGGGGGAGGCCGAAGGTTGAGCCGTTTCAGAAACTTTGGGGGCTGTTGTGGCGGCACACTAGGTTAATCCTCCGCCTGCGGTGCCGGCATCTCATATGGGCACTGGATCTAGCCGCTGTTGCTCCTCTTCCAGTCCAGCTCTCTGCTGTGGCCTGAGAAGGCAGTGGAGGATGGCCCAAGTGCTTGGGCCTTGCACCCGCATGGGAGACCAGGAAGAAGCACCTGGCTCCTGGCTCCGGCCATTGCGGCCATTTGGGATGTGAACCAAAGGAAGGAAGATCTTTCTGTCTCTCTCTCTCACTGTCTATAACTCTACCTGTCAAATAAATAAATTTAAAAAAATCTTTAAAAAAAAATTTCGAAGATCGAAACTTGTGTTTATGTGCTAGCTCAGTTAATATTTTTCAGTATTAAGAGTCATGTCAAAGATCTACCTCTTGACTATTAGATTACTTGTGTTAGTATCAAAGTTTCAGTCACAGTTGAGTATTAGGAAGATAAGGAGTTTTTTTGACATATGATTTTAAGGCTTAAATTGGTATGGTTTTCACAAAATGTGATTCAAATATAACATATACAGAAAGTTACACAACGTGTAACTGTCCAGCTGGGGGAACTCTCTCAAAAGTGAATACTGCCTGGGCCTGAAGTATAGAAATCTGTATATATACAGTGTCAGAAATGGAAGAGGAAGAGATAGGAGAATTCTTGCCAGACTCTAAGGAAATTCTAGCTTTCTGGAGAACAGAAGAATGAGATTCTCATTAAAGAAAAAAAAAAAAGGAAGAATTTATTGTATGGTATTTATTGAATATTTATTGAGTATTTACTGAAATTTGAAGGAATCATTTAGCCATGCCTTTTTTTTTTTTTAGAGACAGAGTGGACAGTGAGAGAGAGAGAGACAGAGAGAAAGGTAGACATGTCTTTTTTTTTAAAGATTTTTTATTTATTTGAAAGAGTTACACAGAGAAAGAGAGAGAGAGAGAGAGATCTTCTATCTGCTGGTTCACTCCCTAACTGGCTGCAACTGCCGGAGCTGTTGCAGATCTGAAGCCAGGAGCCAGGAGCTTCCTCCAGATCTTCCCACGTGGGTGCAGGGGCCCAAGGACTTGGGGCATCTTCCACCACTTTCCCAGGCCATAGCAGAGAGCTGGGTCAGAAGTGTAACAGCCGGGACATGAACCGGCGCCCATATGGGATGCTGGTGCTGAAGGTGATGGCTTCACCTGCTATGCCACAGCACCAGCCCCTAGACGTGTCTTGATATACCACTTTTTGAATTGAATTGTTTTGTGAGCCACTGGACTCCATAAATGTTTTTCTTATTCTCACAATCACTGATGGAACAAGCTGTGCCTCTTTTCCTAACAATCACAGCTTCACCACGTTTGCCCAGCAATTCAAAAACTTCTGTGATTTTTCTGACTCTAGGCACTGTTATACCTCCTCTCGTGGTGATGACCGAGCGCTGGCGTGTTTCCATGTGTGCAGGACTGATCGACAGCTCCTGAGTCCCTATTTGGGAGAGGTGCTGCAGGTGACAGCTCAGAGCCTGAGCTGTCTGTCTGACTCTCCAACAAGGTCATTTTTATAAGAAAGTGGAAGAGTCAGTCTTGTATCTTTGGTAGAGAAAAAAAGAATGGACAGAACAATTGCCTGTGTAAGTAATACTATGAAGAAGAAATGGTTTTTCTAGACCAAGGCTCTGTATATAAAATTGAGGGATGGGCTGTGAGTCAGGACAAAACAGGGTGTCTGTTGAAAGGGCACGTTGGTGAGATTTCCCGGGTTGGGAGCCAGCCTCAGTGTTGAGAAGAGGTTGCTTAGAGAGCTGTGAAATAGGGAGTCACTTCGTCTTGCTATGGCAGTGGAAAGACTGCCTATAGAAGAGGAGGGAGTCCTCACGTAGGTCTGTGTGTGTATCAGAGGTGTGTATTCTTCCATGTCAGGTCCTACACTCAGAGATTTCCTCTTATTATTTAGTTCTCCTCTGACAATACTCCTCATAATTGAGTATTCTTCACCCCACTTCACAGGTGAGGAAACACAGCAGGTTAAGCATCTTGCCAGTGTGTCTTGCACCGTGCCGACATTTAGCAGTAGAATTGGGGATGAGGCATGGGGCTGTCTAGCTTTCTACCTGAGATTGTTCTGTGTTTATTCTCATTTATGGGGCACCTGCATTAAAAGACAAAAAAATAAAAAAACTGTCTTAAGGGAGAAATCTCTGAGAACAGCACTTGGGGAAGAATAAAATGGCAAATGAAATATGTAATATTACTCTGGTCAGGCACCAGGATGTCAAGTCAGATGAGGAGCTTTTTCCTGATGCTTTTTCAAGCTTGAGTTACAACGTTAACATAGTAAAATGAGACTAAGAAGGTGAGACTTCAGATGTCCAGACCATTGCGACAATCTCTCTCTCTCTCTCTTTCTTTCTCCCTACAAACAGCATGTGATAGAATATAGACATGCCTTTCGAATAATTTTATCCCCAGACAGTTAAATAAATAGTTAAGACACTAGAGCATAAAGTTTAATTTTAACAAATAAAATTAAAAATTGGTTTGAGAGTGGCAGAAATCCGGGCAAACATAACATTATTTGAACGATCAGAATGAAAGAACAGTTGGTAAAGTTTAATTTGTATCTCAGATGCCCACTTGGTTGAGTGCCACTTCTCATTGGGTCAAGACATTGCTTCTAAACTCTGTTGAGCCCATGTTCAAACTACATCTGTAAAGTGAGTTTCTGTGGGAGTCTGGCTGGGAGGTTGGCTTCCTATGTGCTCCTTCTGGTCTTAGCCCAACAATTGCATTTGGAAGACATGAAACTTTCATGAGCCTATTTTTTTTTTTTTTTCATCAGAAGCCAGCGGTTTCTCACGTAACACCATGTAGTTATGTGGTTAATTTTTGAACACTTAAATGAAGGATTTTTCTATTTGTCTCTATTAAAACTCCATCATGTGAGTTGAGGCCCATTGTTCCATGTTGTCAAAACTTAATTCAGAGGATGTTTATATAAAGACTTTCGTGTGCATAGCATTGTGCTGAGTGACATAGATAGATGACCATGTCTCAGGGAGGTTGTAGTGTAGGGATTGAGACTGGAAAACCAACAAGCAAAACAGATGAGTACTGTGGGCATTAGAGGAGTTGTTCCTTTAAAAAGACAGGGCTAGAATGCATTCAATTTTGTGAAATTGGGGAAAGTACTCAGACAGCTTCTACACTGGGAAAATGATGGGTGCAACTGGTCTGTCTGTCCTGGAAGCTAACAGTGCCTTATAATAGATAAAAATAGGCACAAAATAGGTGAAAAGTAAATTTTTATTTTATTTTATTTATTTTTTTTTTTTAGAGAATCATGCAGCAGTGTGTCCTGAAGGAAGAGCCAAGATTTTGAAGTTTTGGAAATGATGGAATGAGAATGCAAGGAGTTTTAACTGCAACTGTAGGTAAGTGTGTAACTGCAGATCATAAAGGATTTTTCGGCTTAAATAGATTCTTTAGCTTTTGTGGTATGTGGAACATGTTTTTGAACCATAAATTTATTTAACATTTTTATAGTTCCATATTTTTGGTGTATTTTATGGATATCATTCAGGTCAACAAATACTGAACAGGACAGATCAAGCCAAGATATTCCTCCGTCTTCAGATCTTCAATTTGATATTTCCACATCTACTTAAAAATAATCATTGGAAAAATTGTACAAACTTTCACGCGGATTATTTTCTTTCTGCCTGAGAGTTCCCTTTAGGTTTTCTTCTGTTCAAGTATTCTGGTAATTGGATCCCTTAGATTCTGTTTACATAATTTATTCTGCCTTTATATTTGAAGGAAATTTTCTCTGGGTGTAAAAATGTTGGATAGTATTTTATTTTGGTGTATTAAATGTATCATCTCTGATTCCAAGCCTTCTCCCTAGATTCCATATTTGTGTTGAGAGTCCGTGAGTCTTATTTTTGTTATTTGAGAATGCTCTCTCCTGCCTCATAAACACCCACTCCTGTAGATTTTAAAAATGTTATCTCTGTCTTTGATTTCAAGCAGTTGTAATATTTGATTTGTCCTTGGTTTTTAACTGTTTTTAACAGTTTTACTACAGTTTTCTGGGTGTGAATATTCTTGCATTTACCCTAATCAAGCTCTTCTTGAATCTGTGCCTTGCTTTCCTTCACAGTTGTAGAAAACTCTCTGCTGTTCCCTCTGCAGATACTGCTTTTACCCTATTCACTGCTCTCTTCTTCTGGGGTTCTACTTACATGATGGTGAAACGGCTTCATATGATGTTCTTTCTTTTTCTTTCCATGTTTTAATCTTTTGATACTTTCTTTTGATGTCGCTTTGAGTTCACTTTGATTTCTGTAGCCATGTGTGATACTGTTAGGCTAGTTTGTGAATATTTTCCTACCAGTGGTTCTATTTTAAATTATAGAATGTACTTTTGATTCATTTTATACTGGATTCCTTAGTTTGCTATCTGGTTCATTAAACACTTCAGTCACAGTTATCCAAAAGTTCCCTTCTGTTAATGACAACATCTCAATTCCCTGTGGGTCTATTTCTGTTGTTTCTGATTTTTCTCTTGATATTTCTTTAATTCTTTGTTTTGTGAATGTTGTTATTTCTGATGAACACGGAACATTGTGTATTAAACTTGTAGAGGTAATATTTACTACTCTTCTAGTGATGGGCTGTAGTCTTTCAGAGGGTTGCTCAGTTTCTGGTTTCTGGTCACTCTGGTTTAGCCCTTGGGAATCTGAGTTGTCCATCTGGGTTGTTAACCATGGCCATTCTCCCTTAGCAAGTCAGGAACTCTTAACTTTTGCTTTCAGAACTGGTGAGACAGAAATAAACTGTTTTCAGCTTCCTAGTTTTCACACTGTCTAAGACAGAATCAGCAAATGGGGTAGAGAGTCAAATATCAGACCCCCTTCCCTACACAGTCATGACTCTTCAAACCATCATACCTCAGTAGTCCTCTAATGCCTGCAAACAAAGCCTGTTTTAACCATTGTTCTCCTGGTTATTTGAAATCTCTGTTGATTAGGCTGGTCTGATCTAATCTAGTCCGTCGTATTAAAGGTGAGGTTGAAATGCTTCGTTAAGACAGACTAATCCTACCTATTTTAATCCCTTGATCCTAGGCTTCCATAACTGCAAATGTGACTCATTGTTGCTCTGGGTGCTACCTTGAGCCTTGTTTATCAGAAGTTTTTGGTCCGGGGCCAACGTTGTGGTGCAGCGGGTTATGCTGCCACTGTGATGCTGGCATCCCGTATCAGAATGCCAGTTGGAGTCCTGGCTACTCCAGTTTCAACCCAGCATTCCTGCTAATGCACTTGGGGAGACGGTGGAAGATGGCTCAAGTTCTTGGACCCCTGCTATTCATGTGGGAGACCAGGATGGAGTTCCTGGTTCCTGACTTTGACCTGGCTCAGAACTAGCTGTTAGGGCTACTTGGGGACTGATCTAGCAGATGACAGATCTCTCTCTCTTTCTCTCTCTCTCCATCTCCCTCTCTCCCCCTCTCTCTCCCATTCTTCCACTTTCTCTCCCTGCCTCTGTTGTTCTTTCAAATAAGTCATCAATAAATCTTTTAAAAAAGGATTAACTTTTAGAAAGTGTTTTCTGTACCCATAATAAAACACCTCAATGTTATGTCAAATGTTTACATGTCAAGATGGTGTTTATCAGTTTTACTTATTATATTTAATCACAACAGCTATACAATGTTAGACATTTACAATTAAGTTTTCCATGGAGACTTACCTGCAGATTTAATTAGTGAATAAGTTGTATCTATGTTAATTTATCTCTAGTTACTGAAATGAGTATTCTGGTAAATGGTGATGAAGAGAAGGGGGCTTTGAGATCAATATAAAATATTAGTATTTAGGGGAAAGGACTTGGCGATCTACTGGTTGTGGAACAAAGAGAGAATGACTGCTTTGCTTGGGGAGACTGAAGGAATGATGACTCTCCCTTTAAAGAGAGGCATTATACTACTAGGAGGAGAATTAAGTTTTAATTTCCACAGTTAATACTGAATATAGAATAGTAGTACTGAATTGTGCTTCCAGAGGGAGAGTTGTAGACTTACAACTACTATGTGACAGAGTTGTGATTGTCATTGAGCATTATAGGAAGGAGAAAAGGAAAGCAGGAGGAGGTGGGCAGTCTTGAGGGAGTATTGAAAAGCAGGAACAACTACCGTGCCCCCACCACCCTCTGCCTCTGTCCCTGTGTCTTCCCCCTCCTTCTTCAGCTGACAGCTTACTAAATGCCAGGCATTGTGCTGTTTTTGCTTACATACTTAGGGTTTTTTATATATATGTGCATATATGTGTGTGTGTGTATGTGTGTGTGTTTGTATTATTTTATCCATCTGAGAGGCAGAAAGAGAGAGAGTGAGCGAGCTTAAGAGCAAGTGCACTCCTGTTTGCTGATTGATTCCCAGATGTCTGCAACAGCTGAGACTGGGACAAGCCAAAACTGGGAGCCAGGAACTCAATCTGCTTCTTCCATGTGTGCGGCAAGGACCCAACCACTTGAGTCATTTTCACTGTCCCCCAGGGTGCGCATCTACAGGAAGCTGGAGTGAGGAGCTTAGCTGGAACTTGGACTCAAGCAGTCCCGTATGGGATGCAGGTGTCCTAACTGGCATCTTAGCCCTTAGATCAAAAGCCCAACTCTACTTATTGCTTAACCCTATAATATAGTTACTCCAATGGTCCTGCTTTGTAGCCTTTGTAGACTCTGACAATGAATGTAGTACCTTAAATGTAGTAAAGTTGTGAGGCATAAAGTTGATTATGAGGTTGATACAAGTTATAAATTTCCAAGAACTGAGTCTAAATGAGTCCTTGAGAATGCTAACCTGAGGACGAGCGGCTGACAAAGTGTAATTTTTAAAAGCCTATATGTGCAGGCCAGCGCCGCCGCGGCTCACTAGGCTAATCCTCCGCCTTGCGGCGCTGGCACACCGGGTTCTAGTCCCGGTCGGGGCGCCAGATTCTGTCCCGGTTGCCCCTCTTCCAGGCCAGCTCTCTGCTGTGGCCAGGGAGTACAGTGGAGGATGACCCGAGTGCTTGGGCCCTGCACCCCATGGGAAACCAGGATAAGTACCTTGCTCCTGCCTTCGGATCAGCGCGGTGCGCCGGCCGCGGGGGCCATTGGAGGGTGAACCAACGGCAAAGGAAGACCTTTCTCTCTGTCTCTCTCTCACTGTCCACTCTGCCTGTCAAAAAAAAAAAAAAAAAAAGCCTATATGTTCAGTCGTGTGGGATGCTGGTTGGAGGTAGACAGAGCAGACTACAGAAAATGGCTGGAGGCCTCTACAGTGATGCAAAACACATAATAAAGTCCTCCACTGTGGCAGAATCAGTGGAGAGAGAAAAGATGGGTGGTTATGAGGTTCCAAGTTCAAAGGTCAAGAGCTGGAGACTCTGGAGATGTGAAAGGTGAAGAAGAGTGTCATGAAGAAGTTTTGAATCTGGGGACAGAAGTTCCTCTAGCTGCTCTTTTCTGCTCCCCTCTTCCTTGTACCTCCAGCCTTCTAACTCAGCAGCTGAGGGCTGCATTCAACCCGGCCTGCCTTGACACTCCTCTCACCTCCTCCTGCCTCCCATGCTTACCACTCTTCCCTCTTGGGTTAGCTCTCTGCTAGATGTGTGCTCTCAGTACAGTATTGCAATTCTAGTCTCCCCTCCCATCCCTTCTCTTCTTTATCTTCTCCCTCTCTATTCTTCCTTAGAAATTATTGGACACATAAACTTAGTGTGACATTCAACTTTTGGGGATCCTTTAATTTTTTGTTGACCGTGTTTGTCACCAGTGCCTCGTATGATGTGCTGAATAAATGAGTGAATAAATGGGAAATGGTGGGCTAGTGTCAGAAACATGTATAAATGAGCAGTGTCTAAAACAGCACAACAGAAAACAATTGGTTTTATTGTCAAGTGGTGGTCTTCCTTTTTCTCTTTTCAAAAAAAATTTCATGATTCCCATATATTTCACCTCTGACTACTCCATAGAAAAACAGTGAACTCCATAACTACGTGTTTTGAGATAATAATCACCAAGAAAAAAAAGAAAATCAACAAAACCTACTGTACTGTCATTATTGACGAGTTCTTCTGTTCCTTGTGATAGCTTTCATTTCTTTGACAATTGAGATTACCCTTATCCAAATTTCTGCTTGATAAAATTCTGATGAGCTGTAAAATGCCCAGATATTGGACTATAGAAGTGGGGGAAAGAGAGGAGCCACTTAACAGAATGACTCATTGGCTGCATAGGGTTGAGTATAGTAGAGTCCTAGGAATGACTGCTGGTTTTGGAAAGCTGACAAAAAATAAGATTGCATAGAGCTTGGAATTGAAGAGGGGAACTGTGGAACGAAGGTGTAACAAAATTCATTAATTTAGGTCTGAATTGAGATTTGAAAGAA